CAGAAAGACCCATTCGGGACTATTTTATTTTTCATTTTTGTTGACGATGTCTTTTTGGCATTCATTGCCCTCCGCCTGAGGGGTGGGTCGGTCGGTTCGGGTTAAGCTAATCGTTTCTCACTCTACCCACCCACTGTTCAACCTGCGTCACCGAATCTGCGGTAAAGAGTGAGTGAGTGAATGGATGAAATCCGAGTAAGTTTAGACCATAGAAACCAATGAATCATGTGCAAATGTGCGTTTGATCGCGAACGCCGCTCTGGGGGCAAACATTTGCGTGCAACGGGCAAACGACGAGCAGCCGTTGCAATGAAACTTTATCTCCCCATCCTGCTAGTCTTTGTGTTTTAATTCGTCTTCTTCTTCTCAGAATAGAATGACGGAAACATTTCTATTGATCAGGCCTTGACAAAGTAAAAAGGATGAGGATGAATTGGTGAAAGAACTAAATTATGCTGACGAGGTTTCCGTGTTCAATCTACAGGGGTTGTTCAGTCAACGTTTGAACCAAACGATGGGTGTAAAAAATGACTGTTATGTGAGCAATAGTATTTAGACAGGGGAACTTCTTATCTGTAGAAGATTTATGTCACTTCAATGGAATATGACTTACGATTTAACGCTCCTCTGTATGTACAAAATCTAATGAATTGTAATTAAATATGCAACTGTTTAACATCAAGATACTCTAACTTTAACTTTTTCAACTGTTTTTGGAACATAATTTTGAAATGCAAGAAAGTTTGCAATGACGAGCCCTATTAACTTGAAGCAAACAGTCAACAAATAGCTTATTAACAATATCCGAATTCCAGTTTGAGTACTTAATCGACGAGGTAAAGTTTACACTACTGGTAGTTGGTCGAATTGTTATTGAAACGCGAGATCATTTTCCGCGTTCGTTTAGTTGAAATCTTTAACAAAGAGCGGTATTTTATTTGATTATGTTTTGAGAATCTGTCGTATTCGCCCAGCTTATTGCACAACTGAACGGACGTAGGGTAATCTTGCTCAGTGTTTCAATTAAATTATGTAAATCTTCTATCTTTTCCGAACTGTGACAGAATAAAAGAAACATTGGGCTTGTCCACAGTGCACTTGGCTGACAAAACAGATTTAAATTTGGCGGCAGAACCCACACGAGACCGAGAAAACCTAAGATATACCAGCTATATTTTTGATCTTGATGCAGTTCTACAGACCTTGATTTAGATCCACTGTCGTGCTTTTACGAAAAAAGTTTAAAACCAATAACTTCGCAATAGAAGCTGTGGCATACAGTCTTTGTTAAGGATGGACTAAGTGAAAATAATGCTGTATTTATATTTTTGTCACACTGGCCACCTATTCCGAGATTTCATTTTTAGATACAAGTGACAGAAGGAGAGGTATAAGGGGGTTATCACAAGTAATACACTGCACAAATTTGCTGAAAAAGAAAAGGTGAAAGGTGCTGAACAGCTGTTGAAAACATATGCGCATCTAAAAAGCACTTTAATGGCCAAGCTCCACTTTTCGTGGGTGACAGAGGCTTTCATTTGACCATTGGATAGTTAACCACATGACTGTAGCTGTCAAACTCATAATATCTCCCCCTCCCATTGTAGTTTCACTTTACGATTGCCAAGACTGGTTATTCGTGATAAACCTACAACAAGAGGCTCAGTCATGCCCTTTGTAGGCCCACTTGAACTATTCTTCAATTTGTTTATGAGCCACGTACTGCGTGTCCGTTTGGTGCGGAGAGTACCCGGTTTGACCACAGGAATTCTAAATGAATAAGAAAATCCAACATAGTTGAGGCCACTGTAAAATGCTTCAGATTTAACGCAACCGAATTTGCAAAAATGTGTTTCTGGTATCAGATCTCACTTACTCACTCATTCATCCGGGGTTATAACACAATCGGAACACCGGCAAACCCGACTACTGGGTAGACGATATGGATCAAGTGGGTAATATGCTTGCTATCTATCTGCAAGGTTCAACAGATTCAACCCTCAAATGGCTCGAGGGATTTGCATTGCTGTGAGATCGAATGAGGTCGAAAAGCTGTCCAGCGCTTTTATGGTTTCTCAATTCCCGCTTCCTGTGCTTTATGCCAAGTGAAATTTATAAATATTATAGTTATTATTATTATACTCCATTACTCCCACATTATTATATAACCGCGAACTCTTTTCGAATATCAGACGGATTGCCCTATACCTAAAAAAAACTTTCAAAGATCAAAGATCAGAGATTTATTATGGGGATAACTTACAAGCTTGTGTTTTTCTCGGCCCACAGGTTTATGTCGTGCTTAAAATAGTGATACATACAAATCCATGTGTAAAATGTAACATGATACGGAATTCTTCCACTGCTGCATGCACCCTCACTTATGTTGGGATGTAAGGTATGCTAACGTTTCATCGAGTCTCAGTTTAAAAGGTCCAATGCT